CAAATACTTGAGCAATGCAGCTCAAGTGCTCACTTGAGCTTGGCACTCACCGGGCTGCGCCAGCAGCTGTTCTGGGCCAGGAGAGGCAGTGGTGGGAGCTGCCGCGGTGTGGGCAGAAGGAATGCAAAGAATGGGAGCTGGTGTTTCTTGTCTCCTCACACCACAGGCCTGGTGGGCAGGTAAGCTGGACACGGCATCCACAGTGACACAAAGTAAACATTGAACCGCTGCAAGACCCTCATTTAACGTCAAGTCCCAGCAACTCACGGTGACTCCAGCAGGGCAACTCTCACAGATGGACATGGTTGTGACCGAAAGGGGAAGTGGCTTTGGCTTTGATCAGGAGGTTCTTGCATTTTTTGTGGTTGGCAATGTCCACAAAGAAATACATTGATGCAAGACATTTCCTAGCGTGCAACGACAGATCGGGGTAAGTGTTTGAGCCACACCCAGCAAATTCCATGAGTAATTGTAGAAGCCCCATTCACTACATTGATACTCTAAAATACCTTTTATCAGCTTTTAAAATATGTTTAGGTCAGATAGTTCTAATGAAGCATTTTCTTGAAGAAACTGAGTAAGATGAACTGGGTATCTCACCCCATCAGGATATTCACCTGGCATGGCTGTGCCCTAACATGCCTTCTGCCTTGCACTGGAGTGGTGCCACCCTGCACATCCCAAGCACAGCCTTACTCCAGACCCATGCTAGGGAAGTGTGGCCTTACATTGCCTGGGATACAGTTTCCTACGATGGTTCTGTGAGACCACTGCTCACACAGTGCATAAAATTAAATCTGTTAAACGACAGGCTGCCAAACCTTGCAATGTCAGAGTTAGAAACATATTGCAAACAATGTGGAGGTGCCTATGCATATGTGAATTGTACTGTTCTCTAGCGAGGCAGTAGCTATGCAAAACCCTCCTTCATTTTTGACTACCTGTTTCTTGGAAACATGCTCCTGAAAATACATTGGGCAGGGTTTTAAAGGCCATTCCTCCCCACTGGCTGAGCAACCTGTGTGACAGAGCAAATTAGATGGATACAAGGTACTCTTAATTTGGCTTGAATTTGGCTCTCACAGAAAGAGAGGCTTGGCAGGAATTTAGCTTACAACATTCTTGCCAAGTATCCCAGATAAAACTGACAGTTAGTCTTCACCACCCAAGCAAATAACATCTAATGATGTCAGGATCAGCCCTGGTCAAACAGCCCTGGTAAGACAGAGCCTTTAAACATCTGGGTGGAGCCTGTCTGCCTGCAAGGAAATGCCTGACCCAGAGGTCATTACCACTTCATTACCACTTTCTCCCCCCATCCCTGCTGACAAATTCGTTGCTGGAAAGAGACAGGTGCATAACACAGACCTTCTGGCACAGTCTGGAAGGGCATCCTAGGGCTGTGAGCTGATGGTGAGTCTCACCGTGGATGGCAGCTGCTGCCACACGTTGCTGTTCCAGGAGTTTAGTTTCCCGCTGTTTTGCTGGGGCACTATTCACAGTCTCTGCTTCTGATTGTGCTTTTGGTCACCTCTGTGCTTGTGACAAGAGTGACGCTGCCAGGGGATGCGGGCAAGGGTAGAAGGCAATAATAAAACACTAAACTTGGACAAAGTAGTCATGAGCCAGAGGAGGGAAGAGTTTCTTCCTGTGTCTGGTCTTGTTCAACTTTCAAGTCAAGGATCCTGGAGAAAGAGGGAAAAAAATGTTTCATTTATTATTTATCACTTCAGACAAGCATGAAGTGATACTCTAAAGCTTTTACTCAGCTGCTTATCGTTATTGCAAAGTTAGTAGATTCATCTCCAAGGAGATTTCCACTTGAAAAATGAATATCTGCTTAAGAATGGTGCTGAAACTGAAGGCTGAACAATCTTGATTCAACCCAGGAAAGAGAATGCAGAGTGAGCTCCCTTCTTAAAGTCAAGTAGGATTGACAGCAAGAGAAGCTGAACTGCAGGAGTGAACCCAGGCAATGTCCCACCAAGAAGCAGCAATGCCCATTTCAATGAGGACCTTGGTTTTTTAAAGCTCACAACCCATGCTCAGACTGTGCAGTCATCACTCTGATGAAACATGTTAGGGAATCTGATCCTTCAAACAGCTGTTTTATTTACATGGTGCTCCACCAGGTCCTGGACATCTCATGAAAAATTAAAAGAACTTAAAATATGAATGGGATGATCACTGGTCCATAAAAGCCCTGCAATTCTTGAAAGGTATTTTACTCATAATGAATGCTGGATTTTAGCAAACAGGTTTCTGTCTCTTTTCCAAAGAAGGTGCAACAATTTTCAAGCCTCTGTGTAAAACGAGGGGGATGTAAAGCTCAATGTAAAAGGATGTATCTGGGACCGTCAGGGAGAGCACGTAACTCCAACATGCAGCAGGGAGTTCACTGCCTGGTGGACCAGTAAAGCAAGCGAAACAGAGCCAAATACATGGATACAGTGAAAATATTTAGATTTCTAACTTGATGCTGCACTGTCAAAGAAAGAGTAGAACTGAAGGAAAATGTGAACATGTGGGCATAAGGAAATACAGGACTCATCTTGCAACCACGTGGTGATAACCAGTCTCAGGTTAAATTCCACACCAGTAAATCTAATATTTAACGTATAGCAACTCTCGATGACTTGTCTTTTATTCTGGATGCTGTGTACTGGTAGTTTTAGATGACCTCTCTGAACTTTCTGCTTCTGTGGCCTAAATGGTAAGTACATTCTCAGTTTTCAGAAATTAGCCTGGAAGCAATCATAGCCCTACTGTTGAGGTCTATCAGCTGAGAGTCAGACCTAGTATGTTTAAAATTAGGTTTATAATATTGACTCTATGGATCACTGTTTCCTAGGCTGACAAAGATTTTCGTGCCAAAGGAAATTGCTGCCAGTGTAAAGCACTCTCTTGTTCTTGTACTAGAATTACTGCAGAATGACCATATACTTAAATAAGTTTGCTGTTTACTTCACGGAGGTCTTTTTACCTAGGCTACATGCTGTGAACTTTCATTTTGCCTCACATACTGAAAATAAAAGCCATTGGCCAAGCCCATGCCAAGTTACGTGAACTGAGCCCCAGGAAAAGAGCTTCTCCCCCTCCTGTCCTTTGCCTCTGCAGATTGCTTGTTCCCCGGGTGGTCACTAGCATCTCCTGCCTCAGCTGTGGCACTTGGACACAGCACCATGCAAATGGATGGGGAATGGGCCAACTGCTCCCTCTTGAGCAGGCTCTGTGGTGATGACCATGGTTCTAGCCCTGGACCATATCCCTGTTAAGGGCATTTAGAAGCATACAGGCCTTTATTTTGCTCTCCTTATGGAAATGTGTTTGTTTTTGTTATGTGGCTCCTGTGTGCAGTGACATCTGCATCCCATCCTCCACTTTTAGCAAAGCCAGCAGCTGCAACAAGGTTTACAAACCACCACCTGCATCATTTTGTTTTGTGTCTCCCTTGCCTTTTATCACAGAAGGATGAGCAAAGAGAAGTGATTGGGTCAAGAGAGCCCTTTCTTCTCTCTAAGGTAATTTGGAAAGGATCTGTCACATAACAACATTTATTTAAGTTGTCAGCCAGATACCTGACAACTGTGCTTATCTACAAGGGCTTGAAATGTTTGTGTGAGAACTGCTCTCTCCCTCTCTCCCCTCCTCCTCTCTCAACTCACAGGAAAAAGTAGGCTTTTGAGTCAAATCTGAATTTTAGAACTGATCCAAATTTAATATACTTAAAACAAGATTCAGGTAAGTAAATGGATTTTTGCCTTATATAAATAAAAGGATTTGAGAGTGACAGCCCCACATCTGTGTAGGAAAGAGGCTCAAGCACGACGTTTCTCCACGTTCATAAGGCCCACACTCTATATCAGCAGCTGTATCTGCACTATACGACGTTCTGCTCAGGCACCCAACTGTCAGAAAACATACACGTAATCCTCCACATCACGATCTTCTCATGCAATTTTTAAATACCACGCTGTAAGCTGAGGTACTTATCCTAAGGGCTTCATGTATTGCAAGGAGTAAAAGCTGGTATCTACTAGATCATGAATACCACAGGCCCCATGAATAAAGTTCTTTTTGGGAGATCACATGCAAAATAAAGCCATGTTGTATTTAAACCAGGACATTGGCTTTTACCAGGCTAAAGTTGTTCTGCTTCTGTCTGTGAAGTAATTGATTTTCAAAACTAGATGCCACACATTTGTCTTAATTATCTTTAGTTCAAAACAGTGAAGTAGCCTCCTAGCCAAGGCAAACCACACAATTGATTTTCAGCTACTGGTGTCAAACTGCACAGCAAATCCCACTGCAGAAGACCCAGATCCACTGGAGTCAAACAGGATAGAAACCTTCAAGCCTGTGAAATAACAGGGGGATGAGCTGGAGCAAACTTTTATGGTTCCAACAGGAAGCTGTGGGGAAATAAGAATGCTAGCAGAAGCACTGACTCAGGTTTGCTTTCCTGGTACTTGGGGGTGCCTATGTATGAGGGGAAGGGAGAGAGGGGGAGAGTAAAGAGAGAAAAACTGTAGCAGTAAAGTATAAACACAGTGTATGCCTAATTAGTAATAGTTTCAGTTCAGTCTGTTATCTAAGCAACTGTAATTAAGGGCTGAACATTTCTTTGGTTTTTTTTCCTAGCATTTAATATAGTAGAAATAGTGTAAACAAGCTATTTATAAAATCAGGAATCTGCAAAGGAGGGACATCCCTCATAAACACTGACTCTTTAATTTCACAGGGGAGGCTGATCTAAATCTGACAAGCTGTATGCATTTGTTTGTTGTTGGGTTTTTTTTTGCAATGAGCTGGATTCTTTGCAAAAAGGCCATAATGGAACACATAGTATATTAAATACATTTTCCTTTTGCTCTTCATGGAAAGACTAAAATAAACTAAGATAAGGTAACCACTTCTAAAATGGAAAGATACATATAAATAGGCGAGGCTTTGCACACACCTTGAGTTCACCAGGCTGCAATGCATGCTGAAAGAAGCCATCACGCCAGCTCCTGCATCACCTTGTTGTTCTCCTTGGCTTTCTTACACGTGTACAGCCACTTGATTATCCGAGCGTTGCGCTCAATCACGGAGGTGCTGCTGGGGACCTGCTCTGTGAGCTCATCCTCCAGCAGCCCCTCGTCCCCACTGTGCTGCGTGAAGTCGCTCTCCGACGTTGCCACGCTGGTGCTCCGGAGCTTGAAGGAGATGTTGTCAGACACCACGGAGAAGTTCTCTCTCCCAAGATCCTCGATGACCTCCTGCTCCAGGCCACAGTACTTGAAAAACGTATCAAACTCAGAGAAGGACTTGGAGTAGCGAGAGCTGATGTCCGACTGGGAGCGATGGAGACCTCTCCTCTTCACCTCCTTGCCCTCCTCGGGAAGTGCACTCAGTTTTGAGGGTCTCTCATACTCTCGTGTACAGAGCCCCGGGGCTTCACTGCTCCCAGCAGCGGTGGGCTCTGCTCCCTGGTTGCTCTGCTCATGGTCACTGCCTCTTGCTGAGAGAGACTCCTTGCCCTCGTTGGCTGCTGGGTCCTCCATGAGTCTGGGCATCTCAGGGGAAGCCAGCTGCTTCTCCTTGACAGACCCTTGGAAGATCCTCCTCACCAAGCTCCCCCGTGAGCTGTCCTGGCTTTGACCTCTCCCAAACTCGCATTTCTGGCGGTAAATCACCAGGGAATCGGGCCGCATCTGCCTCTTGGGGGTGCTGCGCCTGGCTATGTGGCTGCTGGGTCCTCCATGAGTCTGGGCATCTCAGGGGAAGCCAGCTGCTTCTCCTTGACAGACCCTTGGAAGATCCTCCTCACCAAGCTCCCCCGTGAGCTGTCCTGGCTTTGACCTCTCCCAAACTCGCATTTCTGGCGGTAAATCACCAGGGAATCGGGCCGCATCTGCCTCTTGGGGGTGCTGCGCCTGGCTATGGGGGGGCCGTGCTGCAGGGGGGCACGGCAGGAACACACCGCCCTCGCCAGCTCCAGCGGCTTCGCGCCCTTCCCTCTGCCCGGGTCCCTGCCGGCTGTTTTGCCCTGCACCCAGGAGGTCTCGCTGCT